GCATGCACTGCACATTATTCTTCGCATTGCAAAATGACATTCCGTCAGGGACTTCTGTTCGAACTAACCTCACCTGCCGTCCGGGTCGGCGATTTTAAAAAGGTGGCAACATTAGCACGGAATTTTTCATTACTGGTTGGATCGTTATTTTTGTTTCGGAATAATGGGTTTTTATTTCGTTTGCTGACATCGCAACACGTGACTGATTCCCTTACACAAAGGATACGTAAAAGAAACGTGGCGCCGAAGAGATTAGTTTCTCGATCGACGCGAAGAAGTCAGCAAAAAATCTTGCTGTGTGGCCGACGTTAACGACGGACATCAAGATTTCGTAAGATAATGTGAAATTTAAGAATACATGAGACGAACATTGCACGTCTGATTAGGCCAGGGGTCGCCAAACGTTTTTGATCGTCGACCCCCTACAACTTTTCGAAACCTCACATCGACCCCCACCAAAAAGTGTGTGTTAAAAGCAAAAAAAAAACTCTTACTATTTTAATACATTTCTTTTAATTTTACATTTTTTACATTTATTGTATATATAAGGGGCAGTCAAATGAAAATGAGACAGATAGGAAAAAGTAAGTAAACTGTTTATTATTTCANGAGTGTTATAAGCAAAAAAAAAAAAAGCTTTTACTATTTTAATATATATCTTTTAATTTTACATTTATTGTACATATGTTAATAATTTTTGTAACTGACAATCAATGAGATGGATAAGCTTGATAATCCTTTGCAAGATTAGCAATATTCGGTTCAAAATTTGTAAGTTTTAGTCTTTTCATCGACCCCCTATAATGTTATATCGACCCCTGGGAGTCGATATAACATTATTTGGCGACCCCTGGCTTAGGCATTGAAATGTGTGCAGCTAAACACAAAGACCAAATACATACGAAAGTGGCTTACACAGTGGCTTACATATTTTTAGCCACTTACATACGAAAGTGGCTAAAAATATTGAGTGAAGACAGTATGCACAAATTCAAAAATTAGCGAAAGCTCTTGTATGATTGGCCGAAAATGATTCGTTGCATCGCAACAAAGCTAAAACGGCAGCACCTGGCGCCTCTGTCTCAAGTACTATCCGAAGCCGAAGTACTATCCGAAGCCGAAGTACTATCCGAAGCTATTCCCATCCGATCACCGAAGTGATCGGATGGGAACCGGTGGTATGGCGCTGCTACATTCTTTTTTAAAACCTCTCTTACATAAATTTCGTAAATCGTTCGCAATTGAGAAGAAAGCTAACTTTATATATTCTAAAATTAATATGCCTCAATTTATTCAAATATTATTTCATTCACCAGTGCAGTGGGTATTTCTATTAATAGGACTTATTAAACTGGTATTTAAGATTACTGCAAATCAGTGGCACAGATTAAAATTGTTTTACTTACATTTATCTGTCAATTTCTCTCTCTGTGTTCTCTGCATTCTCCTATTCACCAGAATTTCGGCTATATATATTATTAAAACTTCGTTAAATTAATATGCCTCAATGTCTTTAATTTATTCAAATATTATTTCATTTACCAGTACAGTGTGTATTAGAAATACACTGTACTGGTGAATGAAATATTTGAACTTTATATATTCTACTTTCAAAATAATTTTTACAATTTGTACTAATATCGGATGTGGTTGATAATTATTAATATATCACGTATATTTGCTATTTTTTTTTTTTTCTAATTTCCGAATAAATTAAAACACGACAAGTTGAAATACAGTAATATTTTAACAATAAGACAAAGTAAAATAGGGAAACAGTTTAATATAATAATTATTTAAATTATATTTGTTACTTATTTATTAAATATCTCTACAACGTATTGATTTTGAAAATATCTATTTTTTGTTCAATTAAGAATTGTTCGTAAGATAGAATATTGCAAAAAGAACAATGCTTTTTAAAATATTTGTGGTAATAACAATTCTTTTTATTATTATCCGATCTTGGACACCCAAAAAGTTCGATGTCTAAATAATTGTAGCTCCAGTTTTTAAAAAGATTTTTTTTCTTCTATCTATCCATCTTTAAATAAAAATAATTCTTTATACGTTGAGAAATAATTTAATAAGTTTTGTAAATTACTATGTTCGATCCAGCCAGTTATATCCGATGGTTTTTCGTCTATAAAATTTAATACATGAATTTTTTTGGTAGAAAAATCGACTTACCATTATCTTTCACTGATAATTGATGCTTTTTAACAGAATCTATAACCCAAAATTTCTCTTGAAAAATTAATTTTGTGATCTGAAATAATTCCATTAAAAAATGATTCATATGATAAATTAATTTTGTGATCAGTGATACCCAAACCACTATTTACACTATAGACTTCTATGCACGTGTTTTTCCCGCGAGTTTTAATACATTTTGTTTCCAATAAACATCCAAGAACAGCCAGTACGTCGTCATCAGATGTATGGCCGACTGACTGACTGAGAGATTTTCCTCCGTGTGTGGGCGATAGCCAATTCTGAATTTCCTCAAGGTCAGGCCTGCACAGTTATTCCTCAAAGGATTTCCTTAACGTGTTTGGGACCCTTAAGTCGGAAAGGAAAGAAAATTTGAATTTTCGTGTATTTTTCTACAATACAATTACATAAGATTGGATTATTTTATAATGTTCTGTCGATTGTATTAATGATAGATGTTATATAATTTAAAAGTGCTATTGATTGTCGAGTTTGACGCATTGTATTATAAACGTTAATTTGTAATTGTTCCTGGTAGACATTGTGCTCGTGAACTTTTTATGCCACAGGCACTTTATGTATTCCCTTTCGATTCAATGCTTTTATTGTAAAAGTTTTTATTGTACACTTGTAAAAGAAATCTATGCCAGATTTGATTTCAGTAATCACATTTTTTCATATCTGCTTTTGCTTGAACCTGAAAATTCGCAAAATTTAACAATGAGGTTTTTGGAGCCATTGTTTAAAAAAGTTTAAAAATGTTAAGACAGATTTACGAGTTGTAGACAATAAATGGCGTAAATAAGCCCTACTTTACTTGGGGTCAAAAAGTCATACTGTCAGATCCTACTACGACATCGCCCAGACATTTTTTGAAAACTGAAACGATTTGTAATGTAATGCATGCACAGTTTATTGGTTTTGTCACACAGTGGATTTCGGATTAATATTAACCAGTAATGAATAAAAACATCATAATTTTTTTATATTTTTCACTTTAATATTCTTGTTAATAACTTTTCATGTGACCAAACTGATTAAAATTAGTAATTTAAATCATAAAATTTACAGAAAATAAAACACCTTAATTTGTTGCTGAGAAATATAATTGAAAAACTAACGTTTTCACCCTGATTAACAGGCCGTCATCAGGTCTAAAAAACGAAAATGGAACAGATAGTTCCATGTATAGAATATAAATATTTAAATCAAAATTTAGAACAAAAATTTTCAAAAATATACAAGAGAAACGGAAGAATATATAAAAATAACACAAAATAAACTAAAAAATAAAAAATATAATAAATCTTCCAATAAACTAATTCTAGCTTGAGTTTTCAGTGAACTTGAAATATATTGAGTAGGCTACGTGAGGGATGTTTAAATGCGAGAGATGCTGAGAGCCTGTCGTCGGCATGGAAATACATGATTAAAAAGTTCACTGAAAACTAAAGCTAGAATTAGTTTATTGGAAGATTCATTATATTTTTTTAGTTTATTTTGTGTTATTTTTATATTTTCTTCCGTTTCTCTTCTATATTTTTGAAAATTTTTGTTCTAAATTTTGATTTAAATATTTATATTCTATACATGGAACGCATCTGTTCCATTTTCGTTTTTTAGACCTGATGATAGCCTGTTAATCAGGTTGAAAACGTTAGTTTTTCAATTATATTTCTCAGCAACAAATTAAGGTGTTTTATTTTCTGTGTTTACTTGCTGAGCACTTTTAATGTTATCATAAAATTTACATAACATCCAATACTGTAATTTATAAAATCTCTTTAATTCATCATAATTATAACCCTATCATGACAAAAAATTATCTAGCATCAACTATACATATTTAAACCATTCTACCACATCTTCCTGATTTTCATAAGGGTTAATTGTTAATTTATCTATCTTGATATTGTGCTAACCCAGTGGTTCTCAAAGCGGGTGCCGCGGCACCTTAGGGTGCCGCAAGAACGACACAAGGGTGCCGCGAAATTTTTAAATAATTAAATTAAAATTACTTAAAATAATTGAATTAAAGTATTAAATTAAATAAATAATTAAAAGATACCTTTATAATAATAACTTTTGTTTTGAATGCTTTTGTGTTGTTTGGAAATAAACTTACTTTAATAAAAAACTTTTATTTTTTTCAAAGTCTTCTCATCCTTCATATCTTTACTAACCGTAAAAAGCAAAATAATAAATAATAATAATAGGGGTGCCGTGAATTTTGTTTAATAATTTCAAGTGTGCCACCTGACAAAAAAGTTTGAGAAACACTGTGCTAACCTATAGAGAAGCTTAATTCTGAAATGTAAATATTAATATAAAATATAAAAAAATTTAAATGTTTCATATCATAAACATTCGTAATAAAGATTCTAAAATAAAAACAAACAGGCATATATAATTCCAAATTAATAATATGATAATTTCTTTTATATATAAAACAAAATGTATTTTCTCCAACTGAGCTCATAAAATAATAATAATAATAATATACAGGGTGATTTAAGATGGTTATACAAAACTTCACCAATGAATCACAAAACCATCACAAAATGCAATGAAAATGTACAATCAACAGAGCTTGTAATACCACAACTCCTGCTTACCGTGCAGATGCGTTGCCAGTTACGCTATCCGGACCTCCATTCCGATCTCCTCTTCCAGCGTATAATATATATATTAATACGCTGGAAGCGTATTAATATATATAAATATATTAGCGTATACACAAGCGTATATACAAGCGTAATATTAGCGTATATACAAGCGTAATATATAAATATATATATTATGCTTACAAGCGTAATATATATATTTATATATATTACGCTTGTAATACCATGTATTTTCAAGATATTAGCCTACAAAAATCCCATCAGTCTCATATAACATTCCTCAACAAGAGACAAAAAGGTAAAAGTGTATGCACAAAACATAACTTTATTCTTTACAGTGTATATATTAACATTTTACAGTTGCCTGTAATACCATATGTGCAGTGCCTAGCTTTTTTGAGCAGGTAGAGAATCATTGCAAAGATGGCTACAGAGATGTGTGACAGTGCATAGAGAGCACTTTAAATGCTCCTTATAAGCAAGAAATAGTGGTGTTTAACATATATACTGTAAGAAATAAAGTTGTTTCAAGCACACACTTGTCCCTTTATGTCTCTTTATTGAGGAATATTGGAATTTTTGCAGGCTAATATCTTGAAAATGCATGGTATTACAACACTTGTTGATTATACATTTTCATAGCATTTTATAGTCAAAAATTCATAGGTGAAGTTTTGTACAACCATCTTAAAATCACCACATACACAATAACAACTAAAAAGGAAAAGCATATATTTGTATAGCTACATATGATTTATTTTAAATGTAGCTTTATTTAAAATACAAGCCAAATGTATTAAAAATAAATTGACAGCTATTATTTACAGCTACCTTATTAAATGACTTTTATTATTATAATTAACCAGCATATCAGTTGTGTAAATACATAGAAATTTCATAGATAATATACAGTATTTATGTTACAATTTTCTATTAAAATGCCTCAAACTCCTGAATATAGAGAAAAGAAATAGATGTACAGTAAGAATATAGGATAAAGAAGCAGTGGCCGTTTATTCTGTAATTCTTGTACACACAATAATGATCCAGCACTGTATGTTGCCCATATCACACCCATTAACTGAAAAACAAATAAAACAACATTATTTAGTATCACAATATGTTCTATTCTGAATACTGGTATTTTGAACAATCTCATACTCACTCATTTAACCTTTACTTTCCAGTACTGCTTAAACTTTGTAAAACAAACATTTTCGGCCTCACTCAAGGTCTGCTTCAGATTACAAGAAAAAAACGGTTTCCAATCTTAGAACAATTCTTGAAGATGTATCAACTTTAAAGATGGCAACACGCTTTCATATGCTTGGTGCTACGTATGCAAAGAACAAGAAATCACCGACGCTACGTAGCGTGCGCATATGTTTAAATTTATTTAAAAACTCAACATTCCTTCAAGAATCAATCTAAGATTGAAAACCAGTTTTTTTTCTTGTAACCTGAAGCAAACCTCAAGTGAGGCTGAAAACGTTTGTTTTACAAAGTTTAAGCAGTACCAGAAAGTAAAGGCTAAACAAGTGAATACGAGATTATTTAGTATGTTTAAGTAACAAATTATTTATTGAAAAACTTTCATTTAATTAAAATTACATTAATTAAAAAATTTTAAAAAATCCTGAACAAAATGCAACAAATAAAAATTAAAAATGAATTTAAAAGGTTCTATATATCTACATATGAAACATAAAACAAAAGCAAAGCAACTTTTTTACATTATATGTCTTAAGAGATGATATTCCAATTTCTGTTGGAATGCTATCTCTTGTTATCAACAGGAAAAGACATTCTAAATCTTGATAAAATTATATATATATTGAAAATATATAATAATAATATATATAATAATANATATATAATATACATATTTATTTATTTATTTAGTTTAATATTTTTACTATTTTTATTTTCTGCCTTTAAAGCTTAAAAATAAAAAAATAAAAATAGCTTCAGATATTATCTAAAAGTAGCATCACCACATTAGCATTAGTGGCATGCCATTTCTCTTGTATTTTCTAAAATATAAATACATACCATGTGATTATTTTCATATTTTAATGTACTTTGAATTACTAAAAATTAATATTTTATTATAACTGCATTATGTATCTTATTACAAATTTCGACGATACACACTTTCGTCTTCTTCAGGTCATTAGAAGATACTGTATAAGAACCTTTTTTGAATACAAAATTTTTAAAAAATATTCCAATCCTAACTAACATTTTGGAATACCAGCAACAGTAGAATACAAAAAGATATTTAAATAAAAAGCACGCGCTTATACTGCGCATGCGCTAGACGCCTCTATATTGTGGATTTAATTGTGATGTTTTATATAACTGTACAAGCTGATCCACAAAGGGGGCAAATCCAGTGTGGGGGTGTTGCAGGGCCTTAATGCGTTGGTGATGAGGGCTTCCCAGATGTATACGAGATTTTTGTTGTCACAATGTTTTAGTATGACCACATCATTCCACAGAGGAGTATGCTTGTGTTGTAGTACCATTCTGGCGAGTTCTGTGTCATTTTTGCCGTCCCTGATGGAATGTTGATGCTCTAAAATACGGTTAGCTAACATTCTGGTTGTCGCACCAATATAATGGGTG